AACAGTGTTGCCAGAACTTTGGAGGGAGGCCAAATTGGCGAAAAACCCACTAAAACTGCTAATGCCATGGTCGGACCGACAACGAAAACAGTTTGAAAACGAGTTGTGGGATTGTGGGCTGAAAGCTGTTCGCACCCATGATCCAACTACACAAGATCTGACAAGATGAAGCAAAAGAAAAAAGTAATTTTCTGGCTGACGATTGTAATTTCGGCGCCATGTTATTTTCTGTGAAAAGTAAACAAATAATATGAAGACGAAGCATAAAGGAAAAATGCAAGCAATGTTGTGCACATGTTTGTGCTAAGCAATTTATTATTTTTGTACGAGTTTTTGCATCCAATCACCGCGCACTTCATTTTAATTACATTTGCACAAAAAGCCACTTAAAAATCACTGAAATAAACCACCGACTAAATACACATAAAGAAAGAAGCAAAACAGAAATAGCAAACTTCAAAATTGCGAACGTCACACACTTTTTTCTCAATTGCTATTACAAATGGCTGCTCCTCAACCGGTCAGATCTGTTCTAATTGGTTCATGGTTCGCACCGGTTGTTAGTGTTTTCGTTTCTTTCATTCCTTGCTTACAGTTTGGCTACGAAAAAAACAAAATCAAAATCTTTGTCTTTCATTTTCTTATCATGAGCAACCATGAACCAAAAATACAAGATCACTCGGGCAGGAGAGTAGCCCGTTAGATTCGCATTAAGGAAAAAAGTTTAACGATTTTGACATTAGCCGTTTGTTTACATTTCTTCGTTGTTTACAATTTGGTGGTGGCTTTTTACTGCAATTTTCTTCATTTTCGCATGTGACAACGTGTGGACACATAAGGTAAAGAATAATTTATCACAATGACATGATTTATAGAAGAATTTGCATAATAAAAATGATTATTCATGCGTTCAACAATTTCGCGGTTTTCTTCGTTCTCTTCGTTCTTTATTTCTTACAACAAAGATGGCGTCGAGATTTCAGCAGCTAGAAAATAACTTTTTTCTTTCTTCCCTTCCCGCGTGATCTTGTGTCTTTCGTTCATGATTAGCAACCTTTTTCTTTTGTTCATATTTTAATTTCGCCACCCAATTGACAATAAATCCCAACTAGTGTATTAGAAATGATAAAATATGACTTCCACTTCGATAAATATATCTAAACTACTAGAGAAGACATCGATTAAAATGAGTGGAACGTGAGTTTTCAAGTAGTTTTAAACTATGTACAAATATCAATATTATCTCAATCAAAGCTCGTTTTTTAATCACCCCGTTTACACAGGCAAATCTCAGATTATTAGCCGTCAAATTTGTTGTGCTTGTTATTCTCACATCTCAAGGAATGTTTCTGAGGATGTTTCTTCTCTGTGCCACCGTGATCACGTTTTTCTGCTATAATAAGCAATATAAATATATTTTAACTTAACATTTTATTAAAAATGCCTTTACAAACCTCTTTTACTTGCTAGCGTACATTTTTGTTTACTTTTACATTTGGCATTTCTCTTCTCTTTCGCAAAAACAATCGATAAAACTAGGATGGACACCGAAAAGTTATCGGTTAAATCTGAGATTATTTTATAATTACAGATTAACAAGGGACGAATTTTATATGGCTAATCTCTTGTTATAATTACAGATTAGGGTGTTAAGCTCGAAAATGAGGATAATCTACTTATATGTGAACCTAGTATTAGCGAAAACTGGTTTTCATTTGACAGATTTTACATGGACGAAAACACAAGTTTTAGGTTGAAAGCCAGTTATAGCAACGAAAACATGTTTTGCAATGACGGTCCGAACATTGTATAAAATGCGTCACCTAATATTAACATGTTTTATTTGAATAAAGTTGAAAGACTTATAAACTCATTAAATTATTTTTAGTTAACAAGGGAAACTGTCGTTATACTTGTTTAATTAAAGCTCTACATCAGAAGTCATGTTTGTATTACTTAGATAAATATAAAACAGAGATAAATTACAAACTTATGACACTTTTTTCCTAGTGAAAAATTTTACCTTAAGCATGTGTGAATCGGTAACAAAATTAGCGGCAAGTAAATTTTTTGCCAAACTGTCTCACCATAGTTCAAATATTCATGAAATTTCTGCGGAAATTCACTAAAATTTTTGACTTTTTAGTCGGCAACTTTAGGAAAAATTATGGTATGCAGTTTTGTAGTCTTTTAAATTTTAGTTTAATGAGGTGCAAATTTGGACTTACTACTGATTTTTGGCATTTTTTCTAATGATGGTGTTACGAATACCGTCCGTCAACAAAAAAATTTCCAAAAGTAAGCGGTAAATGCTAGGTACTTTAAATTTTTACTTTATTATGCTAAAATTTTGGTGAAAATTAGCAAAATTTTCATAATATTTTCACAAAGTATGAAGTTTGGATTTTAATGGTATTTTTTAAGTAATCAGCAACATTTTCATAAAAAAGAATAAATGTTAAACTGACTTAAGGAAAATAGCCAAACCTTGCTAAAAGGTCGCGTCCCAGTTTATATTTGGGTCACTGTATATGTGCTTAAATTAAAAATCACTGAAATCGGCCCAGTATTTTCGGATTAGAAAAAATTGTCTTTCAATTATATATATGTAACACAGTTCGACATGAAAAATCTCTCCAAGATAATAGATTTTGGGACCTTAAATTGTAAAAATGGAAACTTTAACATATATATATATATAAATTTTAAGAAAATATTGCGAATAGCAAAATCGGCTAAAACGGATAATTTTTTTANCATATATATATATATATAAATTTTAAGAAAATATTGCGAATAGCAAAATCGGCTAAAACGGATAATTTTTATGGTCAAAGCGGCTAACAAATATGCTGCCGGCTAAACCGAACTTTCTCCGGCTGTTTTCATTCGAAACCGGCTCAATCTAGCCAGAAATCGGGTAAAATGGTAAAACTGTTTCCAAATTGCGACCGGTGATAGGTGAAATTGGTAAGTCATGCAATCTACTTACAACAGATTTCACACCGCTAAAGCAAGAGTATGAAAGAGAGCAATAGTTTAAATCGAAATATTTTTCTCAACCAGCATTTCAAGAATTTTTTAAAATTGTATTAAAAAAAATGGTTTGAAAACCTCCAATAAAATGTAATAATAAAGTCATCTTTTTGTATCGGAGTTCTTTATATGAATATAACTACATGTGTATTAAATAGTACCGGTTTATCATCCGAATCGCAGCTGCATATTGCTCAATAAACCATGCCGTCGATTTTGTAAAATCTACGAAAATTCTATATTTGAACCCGAATAGCTACGTGAGCACAAAGTCGATCCTATGTCTCTAGTATATATATATTTGGATTCAATTATAGCAGTTAGCAAAACATACCCAACATCTTTTTTTTAATCTAATATTTTCCTTGTCGGCCGCTGTGGTGTAGTGGTAAGCAGTGCGCGCTTCCACTCCACAATGCCTGGGTTCAAACCCTGGTCAAAGCAACATCGCAAAAATATAGAAAAAAGGTTTTTTCATAACAGCGGTCGTCCCTCGGCAGGCAATGGCAAACCTCCGAGTGTATTTCTGCCATGAAAAACAGCTTCTCATAAAAATACAATCGCCGTTCGGAGTCGGCGTAAAACTGTAGGTCCCTCCGCTTTGTGTGACAACATCAAGGCGCACGCCACAAACCGGAGGAAAAGCTCGGCCAAACACTAACATATGTGTAAGCGCCAATCTATTATTATTATTATTATTTTCCTTGCTATAAAACTAAACTAACTTAGCAGGAAAAAGGAAAAAAATAATTCGTTCTCATACTCTAGGNGCCAATCTATTATTATTATTATTATTTTCCTTGCTATAAAACTAAACTAAGCAGGAAAAAGGAAAAAAATAATTCGTTCTCATACTCTAGACATTTTGGTATAAATACAGAAACCGAATGGTATTCGGTAAACCGGTAAAAGAATTGTCTACGAACACAAAATAAATGGAGATAAACCACCGAATACCGAGTCACCAAGTAACATGTCCTATTAGAAGAGTCCTATTCAATGCCAACCATTAGCTATATCAGTGAACGTAGATTGTCTACGTTCTTTAGCTATATTATATTTTTTTTACCATTTTTACCAAAAAGGGCTTAAAACCAATAGTTTCTGGAAACAAAGCAGGGAGATTTAAATAAACATAAGTACATATTATGTCATGGAAAATGAAAAGTAAACTCTGGGAGTAAATTACGGTTCTGCGTTTTCGTGAAGTGTTTTCAAATATTTACACCGAAATAAATGTGGTGCAAAAGTTTTATTTTTTTACTTCATTACAACGTAGAATGAGAATTGACCTCCTGATCATAACAAATACGTATGAAAGTGAAATTGCATCCCTATCAGGTGTTTATGTAAATCTTTTGGTTTTCAATACGTTTGGTTGGGACGCTCAAACTACAGTGATTTCAAATCCGAATTTTCCGACGAATTGTTTATGCCTCCTATTAAATTAATACAGAAATCAAGGCATTCGTAATCGAATGAGATTCGAATCGAAATATCTTTTTCGGACTACGGAATTAGGTAGGCAATCGTATTTCAACTGAAATTTTATTGGAGGGAAAACGGCTGTCATTTTATTTAATTCGATTCGAATCAAGTTAACGTGTATTACATTTTTCGGTGTTTTATTCAAAAATACAATTTATCCCAAAGCGAATAAAAAATAAACATTAAACTGTAAAATTTTACGCACATAACCTGTAAAAATTGTAACAAGCACATCATTTGGGCATTAAGAACCACCGAGGCGAAAGTATAGCTGCTCTGGTATCACCACCTTTTATGAATTAGCATTGTTTTATCCTATCTGAGAATAAAATCTAATATTGTTTATTCTAAAAAATCTAACAACTTCTACAATTATTTGTATGTTAAATAATGTATTAATATTTTCTCCAATCCGTGTACTGTCCCTATTAAAAAAGTTTTTAACGGTTATNTATTCATGCCTATTACGGTCCGACGGTTCTTATTCGCACGAATCTTATCCTTCACATTCGCTTTTTATGACAGTGCGAATAGGACTAGATCCATGCGGATGACATCCGTCGGATACCGAAATAGGCATGATTATCCTTTCAGAAGTGATTTTAATCAAAATAATTTTTTTTTAATCCACCAGGGCTTGGAAACCATTCCAGATGAAGATAAATAAACGCCGTGTAAATATTCAATTTAATCACGTATCTAGTGTAATGTAAACGAATAATATGTAATAAAATATGTAAAGCCAACCTACATTTTTCTTAACTTATCTTCTAACATAAAGTCAGCTGTTGCCGTAAATAATTTTCGTCCTTTTTTCGTAGTCCTTTGCGCAGTGTAAAACATCCCTGTTTTGGTGGAAAACCACCCCTAGCAATACCTACTATTAATTATCCTCCCAGTTGTCATTTACAGTTCGTAAGGCGTCTTCAAAAGACAGAAAAAATAATTGCAATATTTTTCATTACACTATATTAAAGAAAAATAGCAAAAGAATTGCTAAAAAATATCAATAACTTGTTACCTAAGTTGTGCACAACATTTTTATTAACAAAAATGTTAAAAATGTGTCGTAAAAACTTGTGAAAAACTTAGTTTTCACTTTACACATCGACAAGCACAACGATGAAGTGCGCGAGCATTGTGCAAAAGGGGGCGCAGCCAACAGAAAACACCAGAAGCAGCTCAACTTTTGGTGTGGGAAGTGTTGGCGCTTGTGGCGTTAGTCTTAAGCGGAAATGTGGCAAAGGCGGCAATTTTGCTTTGGGCTACTTTATTGGTGGTTGCTGTTTTCGTATTCGGACTTTTGTTTTGCTCGCGGTGGCTGCGGTATTTTTGTTTACAATCGGCTGCTCCAATACTGCTGCTGCAACTAGTTCACTGAAGGCAGTATTGGAGGATGATAGTGGGACAGCAGGCGGACGCCATCAGCATCATCACCATCAATATAGCGCGGTGAATGCTGAGAGATGGCGTGAGCACGAATACGAGGAGAAGGGCTATTGTGCGCCATACAATGGTAAAATTTGTAAGCAATATATAAGCGGACAGGTGTGGTATAGCCGTGAAGACCCAACGGGTGGGTGGAAGAATGAGCAGATAACGACCGCCTTATGGGAGGAATTAATTGCAGATCTGGCCGGATTATGTCGTGTGGCAGCTGAGGTGAGTGCTTTGTTATATTGTAGCCATTGTAATACGTTTAGAAATTTAAACGCTAATTTCGTTACAGAAAATACTATGCGCCTATGCTTTTCCTCACTGTCAAACTGAAAATGGACGCCCAATTAAGGTGCCGCTTTGCTATGAGGACTGCACGGCAACTCATCTACAATTCTGCTACAATGACTGGGTATTGATTGAAGAAAAGAAGGAGCGAAATATATTTTTAAAGAGTCGTGGACATTTTCGACTGCCCAACTGTGGTGTGCTGCCAAGATATAATGCCACAGCTAAGAAACCGAATTGTTCATATATTGGACTCACCGAGATCAAAGAAGATGAAATAAGCTGTAAGATCGGAAAAACGATTGAAGACTAATTTTCTATACCTTGAATGTGTTTTTTTTTTCGATAGATGATTGTCGCAATGGCAACGGCCGCTACTACCTTGGTACCGTAAATGTTACGAAAACAGGTTTACCCTGCCAACGCTGGGATGTACAACATCCACATAAACATATCCAACCGCCGCAGGTGTTTCCACAAATAGCCGAAGGTGAAAATTACTGCCGCAATGCCGGCGGTGAAGAACCCTATCCCTGGTGCTATACACTAGACGAATCTGTGCGTTGGCAACATTGTGATATACCACTCTGTCGTAAGCATATTAGAAATTGGATGAAATTTTACATGTACATAACTGCTTCATATTTTCATATATGCAGCCGACTACATTGATCTCACTGCCAAAGATCTTAACACACCCATAAAAATGGAAACTTTCTTCACTCCATCAATGATCTTCTTACTTGCCGGCATCGGCTTCGTTGGCATCGTTGCACTGCATTTGATTATTTTACTGGTACACAAAATTTCGAGACACAAGGAGT